CCCTCCCTCCCTCCCTCCCTCCCTCTATTCCTTCCTTCCTTCCCAGCTGGCCTGGAACTTACTATGTAGACTTCACAGAGATTCACCTGCCTTTGCCTCTTGAGTGCTGGGATTAAAGGTGTGTGCCACCAGCCAAGCATCGGATATTTTTCTTAATTAGTAACATAACTGTAACGATGTTACAGAAACTTAGAAGGTAAGAAAGGTCATTTTCAGCTCCACTTCCTAGGAGCCATTTTAACCAAGTCAGGGTCCAGTTCCTTCCAGTCTTTTGAGTGCTTTTTTTTTTTTTTTTTTTTTTTTTGAGACAGGGTCTCCCTCTAGTCCCAGCTGGCCTGGAACTCACTATGTAGACCAGGCTGGCCTTGAACTCACAGAGATCTGCCTGCCTCTGCCTCCTGAGTGCTGGGATTAAAGGCGTACCACTACGCCTGGCTTTTGAGTGCTTTTAGATCATTCAAAGTATTGTTTATATACATTTTCACCTCATTTTACTCAGTGTTTTAAATAAAAATTTTTCTTCATAACCTATTGTCAGTGTCAGTGACCATATCGTATGCTAAATAAATGTATTATTATTTCCCAATTAGCTGGGCAGTTAGATTACTCCTGTTTTACACTATAATAAAAAAACCTACTGTGGCTGGGCATGATGGTACATGTCTTTAGTCCCAGCACTCAGGAAGCAGAGGCAGGCAGATCTCTGTGAATGCGAGGCCAGCCAGGGCTACATAGTAATACCCTGACTCAAAAAAATGGACCTTGTGTGTATTACGTTTTCCTTTTCTTAAATTATTATTTTTTAATTATTTATTTTTATTTTATGTGTATGCGTGTAAGTGCATCCATGTTGTGCAATGCCCTCGGAGGACAGAAGAGACTGTCAGATCCCCTGGAACTAGAGTTATGGACAGTTGTTAGCTGCCATGTGGGTGCTGGGATTCAAACCCAGGTGTTCTGCAAGAACAGTCAAGTGTTCTTAACTGCTGAGCTATCTCTCCAGTCCCTTAAATTCCTTTTTTTTTTTTTAATGTGTATGTGTATATTGTGTGCATGTGTGCAAGTGCACCTGTATCATGCAATGCCCACTGAGGACAGAAGAGGGTGTCAGATTCCCTAGAACTGGAGTTACAGACTGTTGTTAGCTGCCATGTGGGCACTGGGATTTGAACCCAAGTTTTCTGCAAGAACAGCCAGTGTTCTTAACTGCTGAGCCATTTCTGCATCCCGTTTTTTAATTTTTTTTAAATAAATAGTTTATTGAGAATTTCATACATGGATATAAGGTGTTTTGATCAAATCCATGCCCACTCCCTCCCCTCCAACATTCTCCCCTCTGAAGAGGTAACCTTAAAATCTTTTAAGGATTAGATACAAGCTCCCAAATACTTTTGACATTAGAGTATGTTGCTAAGAGGCCCAAAGACATTTTGACTTTTAGCCAAGAAACTGGCTACTTTTCTTTGGGGTCTTTTTACCCTAACTGCATAGCCAATTCCTACCTCCTATTCTTATCATAGTATCCTCTAAAGAGGTTACCCAAATTGCCAATAGGGAATCGGGATGCAGACCGCTCTAGCTTCTTCCATCCTGAACAGGGATGCAGGGTGAGGCAGTTGAAGTACCCCTTCAGTGGGTCTATCCAAAAGACTCCCAAATTGTATAACTCTTATCTCTAGGGGGAAAAGAACATCCTTGAATCATGAATAGGAGATATGAAGGAGAAGTAAAGGCAAGAGTAATTAGCATTACATGTTCTAGACAGAGAACTAGAAAAAAGTCAGAACAGGGCAATTTTCAAATGTTCATATGAAAGTCCACTGGAATTTCTTGACAAGGGCTTCCAAAAGCATCCCTCTATTGGGATCCTTCTCATTTTTCTTTTGGCTGCCAAGGATGGACTCAAGATTTATTTTCGGAGTTCCATCTCATTTTCCTTTGTATGTCAAGGCTGGACTCAAGAGTGATGGATTCGGGATTTGCTTTCGGGTATTTTGATAGCAGTTAGAGTGGTTAGAACCAGTGTCAGTTCCCTCTCAAAGGCTTCTAGATAGGGGGAGAAAACAAATTTATCCATCATTTTAGAACAATAGCTGGTTGCCTCACTTAGCTACAGGCGGGCACTACAGTATTGGAGACCAAGATTTGAAATCTTACATCTGAGCAGTACTTTCTGATTAGAAACAAAATCATCAATAAGAAATAATTGTCTAAATAACAATTTATGTGGACTTAAGTCTAATGTCTGGGAAGTGTAATCCCTTGAACTCTTAAAAAATTATATTGACTCACTTTAATCTTTGGTTATACTTTCCTTTTGGGTGTTTAAGACCATGTAATTGGCCCAAACAAACCAATTTATTTTTACTCTTAAGGTCATTGGAGGATCTGTTCCTCAGGGGTAACATGGGCTTCGGAGGAGCCCTTGGCTCCTTTCTTTTGCCAGTTCTGTCTATGTGAACATAAGTCATAGGTCCTACTCATCTATGGCTGGCTTCACTTGGAAGCATGGAGGAAATGTGTTATTTCCTCTGAGTTGACCCTCCTCTTTACAGACTGGACACTGGGTCAAGTCTATCTCGTGGGGTCTCCATGGCCTCCCTGAACAAGAGGACAGGTGACTCGCCACAGTTACAGGACATTTTGAGAGATGTTCCATAGTCCCCTGGAACTTAGTCGACCTTGGAAGGCAAGGGGCAAAAACTGTCCTTTAAATCCCTCTGACCACTAGGATTTATACCTAAGGATGTGAACATTTTTATAACCCTTTGTGGAAACAGTATTTGAGATAGAGTCTGTATAGCTCAGTCTATATAGCTAGCCTTAAACTCAGCATCCTCCTTCCTCAGCCTCCTGAGTGCTGGGATTACAGGTACATGCCACAATGCCCAGCTTGCAGCTTGTGTGTGTGTGTGTATGTGTGTATGTGTGTGTGTGTGTGTGTGTGTGTGTGTTTGAGATGCATGTGTGTATGTGCAAGTGTTCATCTTAATCCTTGAGAGAGCCTGTTAACCTGCATCTAGACTAATGGTCAGTAAGCCCCAGAGAGCTCCTGTCTCCACCCCGCAGTACTGGGGCATAGGCACTAATGTGGCCATGTCAGCTTGTTACATGGGTGCTGGGGATCCGAACTCTTCCCCTCATGCTTGCCTAGCAAGCACTCTTACCCCCTGAGATGTTCCCTCAGCCCTGCAGTTTACAACTCTGTATATAAAATGCCCAGTTGTGCCGGGCATGGTGGCACACACCTTTAATCCTAGCACTTGGGAGGCAGATCTCTGTGACTTCAAGGCCAGCCTGGTCTACATAGTGAGTTCCAGTCCAGCTGGGGCTACAGAGAGACCCTGTCTCAAAAAAGACCAGAAAGTAAAAAATAAAAAATAAAATGCCAAATTGCTTTCTAAGAGCGTTGTCTCAAATTTCAGTGCCATATTATATTTTAAACTATTACAAGCAATGACTGGGATTGTTTCCTTGTTGCTGTGGTTGAAGAATGATTCTTTTTACTGTGAAGCTGTAGTTTCTCATTACTTGTAATGTTGATTGTTTTTCTCATTTCTGGTAATACCTTGTGTTTTGTGACATGGCTATGTGAATTCTTGGCCCTGTTTAACAGTGGTTTGCAGGAGCCCTGTAGCTAATGGGTACCTTAACCTTTTCACTGTTAGGTTTGCTGCAAACACTTCCCAGTTTTGTTTTGTTTTTTTAAATTTCTAAAAATGTTTTACCTTTGTTTATTTGGGAGAAGTGGGCACATATATGGAGATCAGAGTTAGACAACTTGAGGGAGTTGGTTCTCTCCTTCTGTCACGTGGGTTCTGGGAATCAAACTCAGTCAGCTTGGCAGGAAGCACCTTCACCTCCTGAGCCATCTCTCCAGCCCATTCTTCCAGTCTCTGGCCTGCCTGTTCATCTGGTTCGTGTTTCATCGCTATGCACATGGAAATGTCTGGTTTTTATGAAATCCACTCATTTTCTCCCTCTTCCACAATTCCATCCTCTCCGGAGATATGATCAGTTACCGTGCTCGACTGTTTTCTTCTTCCTATGATTTGAATTTTTAAATTTTTAAAAAATACTTTATTTATTATTTTTATTTTATGGGTATGAGTGTATTGCCTGCATGTATGTGAGTGCACCCGTGTCGTGCAGTGCCTGCAGAGGACAGAAGAAGGCTTCGGATTCCTCTGGAACTGGAGTTAAGGACGGTTCGTAGCTGTCATGTGGGTGCTGGGAATTGAACCCTGGTCCTCTGCAAGAGCAGTCAATGCTCTTAACTGCTGAGTCATCTTTCCAGCCCCAAGTTTTAAATTTTATACTATTAAATGTTATCAAGTCTGAAAGGACCCCTCCCCTTCCCTGTAACATGGTCCTTGTTACTTACACGGCCTCTTTGTTTGTTTGTTTATTGGTTCGTTGTTGTTGGATTTGGGGCTATGTTTTGTCTGTTTGGCATATGTATAGTGTGTGTACATGTATGGTGTGTGGATGCCTGTTCAAATGTAGGGGGTACACATGCACATGTGTGTGCACACATGTGGAAGCCAGAGATTGACTTCAGATGTCTTCCTCTACCCCTCTCCACCTTACATATTGAGGCAGTATCTCACTGAATCCAAAGCTCAAAAGTTCTGCTGCCCCAACTAATCAGCTTGCCCTAGGGATCCCCTGTCTCCACCTTAAGAGCTGGGATTACAGGGTGGACATCACACCCACTCATCTTTTATGTGGGTGCTGGGGGTCTGAACTCCCATCCTCATACCATTTCCCCAGCCCCTTACTGTTTTTGGAGACAAGTCTCGTGTAGCCCAGACTGGCTTCAAACTCACTATGTAGCTGGACCACTTGCTGATCCTCCTAAGTGCTGAATTAGAGGCACCACCAGGCCTGGCTTGACAGCCTTGGTTCTGGAAACTGATTCCATTTAGTAAGCTCTCTTTCTGGGTGGGCCCTCAAGGACTTGACACTGTCTTGAGCCTCTTTCTTCTTCCTTCCACCAGATCATGACCAACACTGGGAAGGCACGGCAGAAGGGGCTGACCAGTGTGCAGTGGAGTGGGAATGAGCCCCTGCGTCGGCCTGTCACCCCTGGTGGCCACAGGACTGGGTGCCCAGTGTAAGTCTGGGATACAGGAGGTGGGAGTCTATTTTCTTAAGCTTCACTTTGATTAACTGCTGTGTAAGGTGTATTAAAATGCGTAATAAAGCATTTATACTAGAAAGTATTTCTCTTCATTATTTATCTCAAGGATTTTTGGAGAGAAAGATTTGAGGTCCCATCTCCCCCATACACACCTAGGTTTCTTCTTCCAGAAGAAGTGTGTGAATTCCTGGATCTACAAGGCCACTTCCAAAGACTAGTGTTGACCAGGGTCATTTCAGAGGGAAGGACTTGTGGAATGGTGGGCAGCCAGTTTGCACTCCTGTCATTCATTCCTGTGGCCTATCCTCAGAGCACCAGGCAGTTACTGGGTGTATTTCAGATGAGGTTCTCAAAGCAGCTCTGGGGGTGGGAGTGGTAAAAAGCATGCCCAGTGTGTTTGAAGCCCTGGGTTCCATCCCCAGTGCAGGAAGAAAACAATAAGGAAAGCACCTTTTCCTTTTTTTTTTTTTTTTTTGGTCTTTTTTGAGACAGGGTCTTCCTGTAGCCCCAGCTGGCCTTGAACTGACAGAGATCTGCCTACTCTGCCCCCACCCCCATACCTGCCTCCTGCCCCTGCTGGGATTAAAGGTATGTGCCACCCCACGAGCCATGTACATTTTTTTTAACTGTTTGTTCTCCACAGCCTGGTTCCTACCCCCTTGACAGAAATAAAACTTCAATTACCCTAGCTTCTGGTCTCCCCTGAAAGGCTTGAAGCCTGCTCCCCTGTGGGCTTTGGGGAGCGCCAAACGAGCAGGCCATTGGGCAAGAGAGTGGCCCTTCTATAACTGGGCAGCGTGCCTTTTCCCCTTTAGGGAAACTGAAGCAGCGTGTGTGAGCAGGAGGCTGTAGAGGGCTGTTATCCCAGCAGCCAGTCCGCTGCTGTCAGCACTGCTGTGCCATTACTCATTCAACAGGTCATGGCCTTGGCTTATTTTCAGTGACTCTACCATGTTTCACGTAGTTACCTACAGCCGGACTGTTTTCATTTCATTTTACTGTATGGTAACTTTATGATAACCGACCAGGCACTTAACCAACAAACAAAATGAAGTACTTGTCTGTGAGTTCCATGCCACAGTACTGGGGGCACAGTGTCCCCAACACCAGCTCTTGCCAAATTTCATTGCCCATTTGGGATTTGCCCTAAAAACAGTCACAGCCCCACATCATGGATCTCTGAGATCTGTTTGATTTGATTTCAAAATTAATCTCCATATGCTTCTGTTTCTAGGTTTTTGTTTTCAATTGCTTATATACAAACTAAGTATTATACCCTTTTCCCTCTCAAACACAACCAGTATTTTTAACCTACAGGAAAGCTGAACAAACATTACCCTGCAGAGACGCCAGATGTCCATATTTACTCTCACTGACTTTCTGTGTATATAATCTAGTTTGCAGATGTTCTTGTTTTGTTTCTTCCTGTTTTTGAGACAGGCTCTCCTGTAGCCCAGGCTAGCCTGGAACTTGCTATTTAGCTGAGGATAACCACACCTGGCTTGTATTTTTTTTTTCACTGAACTATTTTTGTTTGTTTGTTTGTTTGTTTTGACACAGGGTCTTACTATGTAGCCCTGGCTGGCTTGAAATTCACTGTGTAGACCAGGCTAACCTAGAACTCATAGAGATAGGCCTGCTTCTGCCTCTTTGAGTGCTGGGATTAAAGGTGTGGGCCACTATGCTCTCCTCACTAAAGTATCTGAAAGGTTACAGACTTTCAACACTCACCTCATAAGAATAAAACACCTTCATACATTTGATAGTTATGCTAGTTGCCCTGGTACACCAATGCCATGTGTCCATGTATTGAAATGTTACCCTGTATACCATAAATGTGTACTTACTATGTGATAATAGTAAGAAACATGTTTCTAAACAGGACAACCTCAGGGCTGGAGGAAATGCTCAGCAGTTCAAGAGCACTGGCTGCTCTTGTGGAGGGCCCAGGTTTGGTTCCCAGCACCTACATGGTGGCTAACAACCATCAATAACTCCAGTTCCAGTGGATCCAGTGCCCTTTTCTGGCCTCCACAGCTATTGCATAGCACAGATGCACTTATATACATGCAAGCAATACACCCATACATATAAAATAAAAATCAATAAAAATGTTAAAAAGAAAAAGAACAACCTCATAAGTGACCATATTGCCACACCTAAGAAAGTTAACACTATCAACCTTGTCAATATTTTTTCTTGTCCCCCATATATCTTAGGGGATTTTTTTGATCTAGAATATAGTGCAGTATCAGTATTTGTAAATCTGGTTTATAAATACAGTACATTTAGAAATGAAGGTAGTAAAAGAAACTAATGAAACTCATCTTGTTGAACATAATTAAAACCCTGCCTTCACAACACAGTGGCAATGACATAGGACACTTTAATGAGAGATGGGGATGCAAGAATCTAAGAAATTGAAGATCTAACCAGTGGGTAGAATTCATTCCTGGGCCCGATGACCTGCCCTGTGAGAACCTTGAGGATGCTTTTTCAGCACAGCTGGAGCTGTTTGGCCAGGGTGGCCCTGCCCAGCCAGGACAGCACCTCCTGAATCTATAGCCAGCCCTGCTCTCCTCCCAGCAGTGACCACCCTCCACTGCCTCTATAGTAGAGTCAACAGACTTTTGGGGGCGAGGCAGAGTCTTATCCAGTCCAGGCCAGCCTCAAGCCTCAAACTTACCCGCCTCAGCCTCTTCAGCACTGGGGTTACATATGTGCACCACCACCTCCAGCTTCAGCAAACATTGTTTTCACTTCTGTGCTTGGTGGGGTGTGAACTCGGTGCTGGGGACCCAAAAACAAGTGAGATGTTGTTCCTACCCTCAAAGGCACACAGAGTCAGCCATGTAGCCAGGGAAGACATGGAGAGGTCCACTCAGTGTGATGCAGGAGACCCTGCTACCCACTCAGGGCTGCAGAGTCTTGGTGGTCTGGTTCCTAATTCTACCTCTGCATCTTGAATTCACACCCAGGGAGCACCTACAACTCTCCATTCACAGGTAGCAACCCCTGGCAACCCAGTGTTCATTCTAGATAAATCTAGACCCCTAGTGTTCTTGGGGACACATTCAGGAACACCAGTACTTTCAGAGTCAGTTAATTCTACCTCTGTAACTTTACAGAGCTATGTACAGGGTATTTATTAGAGTATTATTTATAAAGTCAGGAATATCTACATACCCAATATGGGAAGCTGGCTGCCTGAGTTATGTATGGTCCATCAGCACAAGCCAGCACTAGAAGTAAATAGCAACATTAAGAAGAATATTTGAGCCGGGCGTGGTGGCACACGCCTTTAATCCCAGCACTCGGGAGGCAGAGGCAGGCAGATCTCTGTGAGTTCAAGGCTAGCCTGGTCTACATAGTGAGTTCCAGGACAGCTGGGGCTACAGGGAGACCCTGTCTCAAAAAGACAATAATAATAATAATAGTAAATATTTTTTAACATGTCAGTTTGGGCCAGCAAGATGGCTCAGCAGATAAGGATACTTGCTGCAAATCCTGTGGATCTGAGTTCTATCCAGGTCCCTTATGGTGGAAGGAAAGAAATGACTACCCAAAGTTGTCCTGTGACCTCCACATATGCACTGTGACATGTGCATGTACACACACACACACTCACACACACACATACACACACACACAATGTAAAAATATATATCAGTTTAACAAAAGGATTCCAGGCACTGCCACCTCCTGGATCTGTTTATGATGGCTACACAGAAGCCAGCAATCAACTGTTTCCCAACTATCTGTATTTACTGTTGTTTCATGTTTTTGTTTTTTGTTTTGTTTTGGTTTTTTTTGCAGGCAGGGAGACCATCTCATTTCTGCTCACAATGCCCAACAAGTCAGAAATAGCTGCTTGCAGGCCCAACCAGTCACTCAGCTGACCACCTATAAAGAGGGCAAGCCTGGTATTGCCGAGCGTGGAGCATCCTCTTCACGTAAGAACACTGCAGTGGGCAGAGACAGTCCTGGACTGGTGAGGTCTAGAATCCAAGTAAAGCAGCAGCAGGAGCTGAGGGTGGATGCCCACTCCTAGGAAGCCCTCTGGCCTCAGCTGTAGTCGTGGATCGTGGAAGTCCACAGGCCTCCTATCACACAGCCAGATCTAGTGCTGGGCTTGACTTCAGACCTATGCTCATTGGAGCTACTGGAGCAAGGTTTCTGATGGAGAAAGCCAGGCTTTTAGGAGACTTCAGTGTGGAGATCTCAGTATGCCATATGGCTTAGTCCATTTCCATGGCTATATAATAAATGCCTGAACCTGGGTACTTTATTTTCTGTGTGTATGCATGATGTGTCCATGTGTGCACATGTGTGTGAAGACAGAGGTTGATGTTGGTTGTCTTTCTCTATTGCTCGCCACCTTTTTTATTTATTATTTATTTATTTTTGAGATGGGGGTCTCACTTTGCAGCCCTGGCTGGCCTGGAACTCAGAGATCTGCCTGCCTACTTCTGCCTCCAGAGTGCTGGAGTAAGGCATGTGCCACCACGCCCAGCATCACCACCTTATTTTGGGGGGAACTCACGGACTGAGCCAGACTGGCTGCTCAGCAAGCTCCAAAGATCCTTCTGTTTTGTTTCTGCCTCCTCAGCACTGGGATTGCACATGCACGTGGCTGTTGCCCAGCTTTATGTGGGTGTTGGGGATCAAACTCAGGTTGTCATACCTATACAGTAAGTTCTTTATCAATTGAGCTGTTTCCCTAGGCTTGGGGTACTTAATAAGAAAACAGCCTTATTTAACTCAATGTTTAGGAAACTGAAAATCTTAAGATGATGTGGCCCCATTGGTTCTGCCTCTAGTGAAGGCCCCTATGGTTGTGTCACAACGTGGTAGATGGCATCATGGTGGAAGTGCATGCAAGAGGTCAGGCGTGTATGACAACAGGAAGCAGGGGGCCAGGAAGGGTCACGCTCCATCTTTTAATTTATTTTTTATTTTTTGTTATTTGATCTTTTTGAAACAGGGTCTCCCTGTAGCCCCAGCTGGCCTGGAACTCACAAAGATCCACCTGCCTCTGCCTCCCAGAGTGCTGGGGTTAAAGGCATGTGCTACCACACCCAGCCCATCTTTTTATTTTATAACAATTCACTTTTGCTGGGCATGGTGGTACATGCCTTTAATCTCAGCACTTAGGAGGCAGAGATAGGTGAATCTCTATGAGTTCAAGGCCAGCTGGGGCTATACAATGAAACCTTGTCTCAAAATAATAAAATAATTCACTTTTGAGGGGCCTAACTTAGACTCCCATGATAACTACATGCATGCCCCCCCCATAAAGTTATGACCCCTTGACCTAATCACCTTGGCCTAGACCTCACCTCTGTAGGTCCCACCATAACACACTGCCACATTGGTGACCCAGCCTCCAGCACATGAACCATTGGGGATACCTCCAAACCATATCTATATCATAGCAATACAGTCTTACCAAGGGTACCTCAGATTGTCACACTGAGGGGTCAGCCACGAGTTAGAAGGCTGCACAGCGTCAGACTATGCAACTGGACCCATAAACAGCCCTGAGGTCAGAACATGCTTTGAAGCATCAAATTGAGTTAAACAGAAACTGATGGGACATAAAATTATTTTTTAGATGACACACACAAAAAAGCATTTTGATTCAGAAATATACAAAGTATTTCTTTTTAATTTTCAAAAGGAAATTTAAAGGATTGTGAGCAGACCAGATAAGACTCTACTCTCCACTCAAATAAGAAAAAACCTTAGGGGAGCAGGTCAGACTCCAGGATGAGAAACATCTGGGAACTTGAAGTATCCACTCATATTTGGAGTCCAAGGCTCCAGGTTCCAAGGAACCAGCTCATCACGGAGTCCAAGGAAGGCCCTGGTGACCTGGAAAGGGGGACTCAGGGATCAGAGCTTTTGCCAAGTAGCTGATCCTCGGTTATTTTGCCTGCATTGACATTGTGAGCCAGTATGCCTTTGCTAAGTGTGAAGGGCATAGCCATCTGTGCAGAGGTCTCTGTTGCCTCTGCTCATCATAAGAATAATGGACTTTGTTTTGTGGTACTCATACATGTCAGGCAAGCCCTTTACCATGGAGCCACAGCCCAGCACATGGTCCTATCTTTTGGGTAGATTCATCATCGTACTGCTGGGGGTGGGGCGGTACTTGAGCTTGTCATGCATAGAAATGGCATTGGTGCCAGGTGTGGTGGCACACACCTGTAGTCCCAGCACTTGGGAGACAGAGGCAGGTGGATCTCTGTGAGTTCAAGGCCAGCCTGGTCTACATAGTGAGTTCCAGGACAGCTGGGGCTACAGGAAGACCCTGCTTCAAAAAGACAAAAAAAAAAAGAAAAAAAAAGAAAAAGAAATGGCATTGGTAACAATTCCATCATAAGTGTTGACTTCAGGCCAAGGATGTAGAGGTACACCCCGTCATCCCAGCACATTTAGGAGGCTAAGGCAGGGAGGACTGCAAGTTCAAAGTCAGCCTGGCCTATAGAGATCTGTCAAGGAAGGCAGAGCAGGAGGAAGGAGAGTGGGAAGGATGAAGAGAGACACACAGACAGATAGGCAGAAGACAACACGAGTGCATCTGAATTTATTTCAGCCCTGACGAAGTCAGAGCCCTGGCAAATTCCAGTTCTTTCCAAAAGCTCAGTGGATTCCCATCAAGGCACTCAGCCTTGGTCACAAGCAGTTTTCACAGCCTCTGCCTAGTTTGGCAGCAGCTGCTCACCAGCCCCCCAGGACAGGCCACCTAGAACCAAGGCTGTCACTCTTCCCAGTCATACCTTTGGGCACACCCTGCTAGCCTGCTCTGAATGCTGAGACCCAGTTTGAAGTGCTCACTCCTCATCCCTGCACCTCTTCATTCCAGCAGCCAGGGTCAGGCTTACTCCATGGAACCATCAGTTCCCCTACCCCTTCTGTAGGCCTCATTTCCCTAGCGCTTAGCCCTGTCTCCATCACCTGCTGGCCAGCCCTAGGGCCTGTTTTATTGAGGTATTTGGTGTGCCTTTGCTTTACCCTTCCTCTACCCTCCTTCAGCCTGGCCCATCTTACAGCCACCCAGCCCCCAGGTACACCGGTGCCATTGATCTGGCAGCCTCCTTTATAACTTGCAGCTCTCACCAGCCTGGGCCTCAGGGAGGGATAGCCCAGCCTCCGTAACCGTGCTTACCACATCTGGCTCCCCAATAAGAGTGCCATGGCTGGGGAGGAGGCAGGCCACAGTGGGCTGGGTCAGCACTTTCTGCCCCATGTTCTCTCCTCTTTCATTCCTTCCCACCTCAAGGGAGAGCCTGAACTGACCTCTATGGACCTTCCTTCAATCAGGCCTATTCTCCGGTCGTTTCTTCCACATCTGTTCTCTTAGCTACCTTGTCTTCCTGGCTATTCTGGATGGAGACCCTCTGGGAACTCCCAGCATGGAGCTACATGTGAAAGTTCTTCAGTAAGACCCTTCAAGCCATGTTATTGATCTATTTTTTAAAGGCTAAGTTAGGCCGAGGAACCTTGTGAGACTGTTTGACCCATGGATGTGGGACTTGGGTAGAGATTCCTTATAAGCAAGGGGCTTATTCAAAGGGCCAAGAGAAAATACTTCCAAGAATGGGACATGGCCTGAGGAAAGTTATTCCCCATCCAAAAAGGCCCATCCAACACATAACTCATGTGTCAAAATCATATGCCATGTTAGGCCACATGTGATGTCACATACCTGTAATCCCAACACTTGAGGCAGAGGCAGGCAGAGCTCTGTGAATTTGAGGCCAGACTAGTCTTCATATTGAGTTCTAGGTCAGCCAATGCTGTAGAGTGAGACCCTGTCTTAAAAGAAAAAAAAAAAAAATTACATGTGAGCAGATGTGGAAGTTCAGGTGCCCAGAGCTGTCTGAAATGAACTCAGCAGAGCAACTGTCAGTATGTACCCATGGTGCCCTTTCCTCCGACTCAGACCCCTGAGTCCACAGTGTAGCATGTGGTAGGGGACATGGCAGAGAAGGGGTCATCTTAGTTGCTGTGATAAAATGCCCTGACAGAAGCAACTTTCGGGAGAGAGGGTTCGTGGGCTCCAATGCCAGGTTCATCATCCCAGGGAAGACAAGGAAGCAGAGCCTGACGCAGCCGGTCACGTCACATCCACAGTCCTGAGCATCAGGCAGCGAATGAACACAGCATGCTACTGTTGAGCTCGCTTTCCCCACTGTACAATCCAGAAACCCCTGCCCAAGCAGTGCGTCACTTGGAATAGGAGACGCTTCCCACTAATCAAGATGACCCCGTCAGACATGCCCACAGGCCAGCCTAATTAGACAGCCCCTCACTGGGACTCCTTTTCCATGTAATGCTAGACTGTGTCACATTAACAAAACTAACCATCATGGGGCTGGAGAGATGGCTCCAGTGGTTAAGAACACTGGTTGTTCTTGCAGAAGACCCGGGTTCGAATCCCAGCACCCACATGGCAGCTAACAACTGTCTGTAACTCCAGTCCCAGGGGATCCGACAGCCTCATCTGTCCTCTGTGGGCGTTGCGTGACATGGGTGCACTTACCTACATGCAGGCAATACACACATACACATAAAATAAAAATAATAAAAAAACAAGCCGGGCATGGTGGTGCACACCTTTAATCCCAGCACTCAGGAGGTAGAAGCATGCGGATCTCTGTGAGTTTAAGGCCAGCCTGGTCTACATAGTGAGTTCCAGGACAGCTGGGGCTACAGGGAGAACCTGTCTCAAAAAGACCAAAAAAAAATAAAATCAAAGCAAAAAACTAGCCATCACATGGGTGATAGAACAAAAAACTTGGAGGGCCTAGGAACTCTCCATTGCTCCTCTCTCCCACTCTCCTGTCCCTTTCTCCTCACCCAGAAGCTGGGGTCCTGGAGGTCTTGCCTGCCCTGGTGCCAGTCTTGGAACACTGTGAGGAGGGGGAGTGTTTCCACACAGCCAGCACCTGAGTATGGGTCCACTCACTCAGATCTTAGCCAGTGTGCTAAGCCTTCATCCCCCTGGCCTTAGCACCAGTAAGCTAAGTCAGAACGCTCAGGGGAGCCCAGCCATTGGTGCCATAAAGAAGGTCAAAGGCCAGAAATCCTAGGTCAGGTAGAGGGGACACAAAACTATCCCTAGGTTCTGTATCAGAAGGATTTCTTCTTTGGGTCAATAATAAATTAGAGGTCAAGAACTCTTGCTTGGAATATGAGGAAACTTGCAGGGCAGATTCCTTTAAGATAGATCCTCACAGGAGGATCAGAGGTATTTTCTAAGTGGAAAGAGCAGAGAGAAGCATGGATTAAGGGCACAGCAAACCCAGACCCTGTCATTGTGTCACCCTAACAATGGCTGGACTCCTTTGACCTCAGACTCAGAGAGGTGGGGCCAGAGCACAAGGGGTGCATGGCCTTGAAACACAGACAACACAGGCCTATCTCCAGGCCCTCTCAGGAGCTCTTCAGCATATTGTGCAGGTGTCCTTCCTCATAGCCTGAACACTGACCTTGAGCACTTGCTGGCCCCATGAGCATATTGAAGGTTCAGCCTGATGGCACCTGTGGAACTTGATGCCCAGCTCTATTTCTACCTCAAATATAAAGGCTGCCAGATTTAGGAAATCAAAGTACAGGAGACCCCGTTATATTCATGTTCATTATAAACTAATGTGCCTCCCAGTTCATGTGGAGGTGCAAACAGTAGTCTGTGTTCCTTGACTGTTGTCTTCTACAGGCAGAGAGAGACAGGAGGCTATACAGGGAGGGGACAGCACCTCCCATACTGTGCCCCCTGCCCACAAGACCCCAAGCTACAGAGTTAGGAGCCAACACACGCTGGCCCACGTTGTGCTTTCCTTGATTGTGCAGCCCAGCCCAGGAAAGAATAGCCTAGGGGGCTCCAGGGCAGGTGTGGACTGGGCTCTCTGTTCTCCCCAGCAGTCATGGATGCCAAGCCAGTAGAGTGGTTGTCAGCTGCACGTCAGGAAGAGCCTCACCTGCCTCCCATGGCATCCCCCAGCCGGTCAAAGGATGTGCTCCAAGACGCGGGCAGTGGAGACACCACCAGGTACAGGTGGGGATTTGGTGAGTCCCAGTATTCCATCTAGCCATTAGGTTCCCAGAATCAATCCCCACAGGTAGATGTGCAGCATCCCAGAGCCAGTATACCCATCAGTGTGTCAGAACCTAGGGAGAGCCATCGTTGCCAGACCAGAAGACGACAATTTTAAGAACTGCTGGGAAGCTGGGTCTGATGGCACTCAGGAGGCTAAGGTAGGAGGATCATGAGTTCGAAGCCAGCCTGGGTTATAACAAGACCCTGCCAAAATTGGTGGGGAAGGGCTAGCGAGATGGCCCAGCAGTTAAGAGCACTCGCTGCTCTTGCAGAAGACCAAGGTTCACATCCCAGCATCCGCATGGTGGCTAACAACTATCTGACTCCAGCCCCAGGAAATTTGACACTGTATTCTGGCCTCTGTGGGCACTTCATGACATGGGTGTCCTTACATACATGCAGGCACAACATTCATGCACATAAAATAAATATATCAATGCTGGGCGTGGTGGTGCGTGCCTGTAGTCCCAGCACTTGGGAGGCAGAGGCAGGCGGATCTCTGTGAGTTCAAGGCCAGCCTGGTCTACAGGAAGACCCTGTTTCAAAAAGACAAAATAATAATAATAATAAACTAAAAATAAATACATCAAAAAATGTTTTAAGGCAGTGGGGAAGACCTGCTGTGGGTATTGCAGGGAATGTGTGATGACTTGGAAACTTGGTGGTAGTGGTCTGTCTTAACTCTGCTTTTAGAGAAGGTGGATGGAGGGGAGAGACACGGACGATGACATTAGCAAATGGCTCACATCTCCTAGACAGAGACTGAACCCTAGCATAGGAAAAAAGTTCTGTTTTTGTTTTGTTTTGTTTTGTTTTGTTTTCCCAAATGAGCACAGACAAGCCCTTAATGGATTGCTACTATCCTTTACAATCTAAAAAGAACCTTTCTGAGAGTCCTGCCGGCCCTTTCAAACCTGAGGAATCCCTAGGCAGGGACCCAGCCTAATCCGAGCCCACCCACTGCCCCTCTGTGCTCTCCTGACCACACAAGCCCTGAGGCAGAGTAAGGTCAAGAAAGAGAATTCAAATAGAGAGGAGACCTGCTGAGTGCCCCGGTAGTTGCAGTCTCTAGTGGTACGAATGGTGCAATGGCCCCATGGGCCTTCTGTGCCCAGTCTTCTACTAGAACAGGAGGTGCCTCCATCTTCATGTCTTCAGTGAGCACCCCCATGTGGTGTCTGCAGGAGCTCCCACCTCACTATGGTATCTAGAGTCAACAGGAGCCTCACACCCCATGGTGTCTACAGTCCACAGACAGCCTCTCTGGGGTCAGTCTGCCACAGGCCTCTCACAGAGCTAGTGAAGGGGAACCCCCAGCTTAGGGGCTCCTTGGCTCTGGGTCCTCTCCTACAATGAGGATAGGGGAATCAAAATGAAAGAACTCAGAGGGACAGGCCAGAGCCTTCTCTCCTTGCCTGCTTGCTATAGGCCAGACAAGTCCTCTCCTGCCCTTTGACCAGCCCAAATCTGCTCATTTCAGAAGCTTACCACTAGAGACAGGCTTCTCCCCGAAATAGCATTCTCAGTTGGCAGAGCATCCCACAAAGCTCTTTTGGAAACATCCTCCTCACTACACCTAGCTGCCCCTCCCAGCTTCCACTGGGCACAAATGTCCCCATGGGGTTTAACCCATGGGCGCCCTCCCTTCGTGTCAGTCACAGAATTCAGCTCTTATTCTAAGTCTGGGAGTGCTGCATAGGAAGAGTAAGGTGGAAAGAAGGAAATGAGCACACTCTCCCATCCCCTTTCTCACAACTGACCCTGCCTGGAATGTTCTTTCCCTACTCCAGACTCTTGTTTGTTGGGCTGACTTCAGCCCCCTTCAGCTCTCAGCCATTTCTCCAAAGGCAGGTCACACCCCGGCCACCAGGCTTCAAGTGACCTGACCTCGGTCCCCTCCCACAGTCAGTGACCCCATTGTGCTGTCAACTGTTGCAGTCTCACCATCCTCAAAGAGGTCTTCACAGGGTGGTTGCCTTTGTTTTCCCACACCTGACTGTCAGCTGTTTAGATGAGAAAGGGGAACGGGCAGCTCTCTGTGTAGCCTTGGCGGGGAACATTTGTTTCTGTCTTTGGGGTAAGGACAGCACCTCCTCCCAGAAAAGTAGGGTGGCCTGGCAGAAGGCCCAGGAGCTGCAGGCCTGGCAGACTGAACGATGGTGCTTCTCCACTGGCCTGGCTTCCAGACAGTGGGCATAGTTGACACTCAGGCTCCAGTTCCAGTGCCTTCCAGTAGCCGGTCTTGCTGTAAAATGCTTTTTTGCAGAACCAGTAATAAAGTTCAGATTCACTGTGTCCCTTTCCTCTTCCATGACAAAGCTTTTCTTCTTCTTCTTCTTCTTCTTCTTCTTCTTCTTCTTCTTCTTCTTCTTCTTCTTCTTCTTCTTCCTCTTCCTCTTCCTCTTCCTCTTCCTCTTCCTCTTCTTACTTCTACTTCTACTTCTACTTCTTCTTTTTTCTGGTCTTTTTTGGGGCAAGGTCTTCCTGTAGCCCCAGATAACCTGAAACTCACTATGTAGACCAGGCTGGCCTTGAACTCACAGAGATCCACCTTCCTCTTCCTCTTCCTTTAGTGCTGGGACTAAAGGCGTGTACCACCATGCCCAGCAGCTTTTCTTTTTAAAATATTTATTATTAGTATGTGCATACATAGTTTGTGTGGGGTGGATATGTAACGTGCATTTATGGGGGGGTCAAAGATAAATTTATGGAGTTGGTTTTCTCCTTTATGTGGGTTCCAGGGATTGAATTCGGGTCACCAAACTTGAGCAGCAAGTGCCTTTACCTGCTCACCAGCCTCCCTTTCTTTTTTCCACCAGGCTCTTCAAATCCCTAGCATTAAGTCACTGGAGAAACACTGATTGTAGCTTTCAAAATACATTTATTGTGCCAGGCTGCAAGTTAAAGGCTAGCCTGGGCTACACATGCCAAGATCCCATTCCAAAAATCAAAAACTGGAGTTGAAGACCAGTCTTGTCCAAGTAGCAAGTTCCAGGCCAAGCCAGAGCTACATAGTGAGACCCTGTCTCAAAAAAAACCCAAAACCACCACCACAACAAAATATCAATAAACAAAACAAGACCAAAGAGATAGCCCAGTGGATATAGGTGCCAGCTGCCAAGTGTAACAACCTGAATTTGATCCCCAGGACCCACATGGTGGAAAGAGAGGACTGATTCCCACAACTTGTCCTCTGACCTCCACACACATACTATGGTATGTGCACACCTACAAACATGCACAAAAAATAATTTCAGCTGGGTGTGGTGGTGCACGCCTTTAGTCCCAGCATTTGGGAGACTGGCAGGTGGATCTCTGTGAGTTCCAGGCCAGCTGGGGCTACCGGAAGACCCCGTTTCAAAAAAGACAAAAAAAAAAAAAAAAAATGCATTTGTGTCAAGGCATTGTCCCAATAACTACCCAATCCTGACTGCAAGAGGCTTTGATGTTCCTTGGAATGACGTAGCTGATTCACTGCCATCAGCACCCAGGAAGGGGATGGCAGCATTGACTTCACCACCACCCTTCTGCCATCCTCCAGCCTGCCATTGTAGGTTGGCGTGGTGCTGGATGAGGTCTGTAGGTAGCCCCAGCTAAGTGGGAGAGGTGGGCTGCCCAGATGGAGCTCTGATGTCTAACCCTAGATCCTGTAGAACAGGTCCAAAGGACCTTTCTTATATAGACAAGAAATTACTATTTTGAAAATATAGCTTATGGGGCTGGAGAGATGGCTCAGTGGTTAAGAACACTGGTTGTTCTTGCAGAAGACCCGGGTTCAAATCCCAGCACCTACATGGCAGCTAAAAACTATCAGTAACTCCAGTTCCAGGGGATCCGACAGCCTCTTCTGACCTCTGCGGGCATTGCACGACACGGGTGCACTTACACATGCAGGCAATACACACATACACATAAAATAAAAATAATAAATAAATTAAAGAAAAAAGAAAATATACCTTAAATATCCCTAGTCTGAAAGTCTAAAATCCAAAAATGCTCCAAAACCTGAAATTTTTTCAACACTGACACTGCTATGGGTAGAACTTTTGTTTTGAGTTTTAAGGTAGAGTTTTTTTGCATATATATGTGTGTGTGTTTGCACATTCATATGTGTGTGGACATGTGTGTGTGTGATATGTGTATATATGCATGTTTGAATGTGTGCGGACTCCTGTATGTGGTGTGTATATGCACATTCACGTGTGTGTGCACATGTGCCCATATGGAATCCTGAAATTGACAGGTGGTGACTTCTTTGATTGATCTGCACCTTGTATGTTGAGCCCAGAGCTCACAGATTGAGCTAGTCCAGCTAGCCAGCATGCCCCAGAGACCCTAGTCTCTGTCTCCCATGTCCTGGGAATGCAGGTGGGGTACCACAACCACTTGACATGTGTGGGTCCTAGGAATTCAAACTCGGGTCCTCACAACTGGCACAGAAAGTCCTTTACTCTCAGCCATCTTCCCAGCTTCCTGTTTTTAGTTTCTTGAGGCAGGGTCTTGCTGTGTAGCCCTGACTGGCTTGGAACTCACTGTGGTCTCAACAGTGGCCTCAGACTTGGGGCAGTTCTGATGTCTCAGCCTCCTGAGTGCTGGGATTAGAGATGTCCACCACCACATCTGGTTCACTTGTAAAACTTTTTGAAATGCTGTATGATGCAAAGTGTGATATAGCACATGCTTGTAACCCCAGTGCTCAGGAGGCTGAGACTGGAGGATCATGAGTTCCCAGCATAGGACTGGAGAGATGGCTCAGTGGGTAAGAGCACTTACTCCATAATTATGAGGACCTGAGTTCAGATCCCCAGCCCCCATGTAAAAGTTGGGCATGGCTGTGTGCACATGTAACCCCAGAACTGGTGGGGAGGGGAAAAGAGGAGGATCACAGGAGCTTGCTAGACAGACAGCCTCATCAAAAAACAGTGAGCTCCAGGTTCAGTGAGAGACCTTGC